TGCCAAGTCATTCAACTTGTGTTTAATTCATGCAGATCTCTCCCTGGGCATCTGAGAACTGACAACCCTCTCTGCCCAGTAGACTCCTGCTAAAAGGTCCCGCAAAGTTTTCGCACCCGAAAAGCATTTGCTAAATCTTAAAACTTTTGACTACAGAGCTGTTTTATTCATGTATTCTTAATACGAACAGAGGTTGTCCTCATGCAAGACGTTTCAGGCGTATACACCACTCTGTCTTATACCGATTAACTAAAAATGGCTTTTCGGGCCCAAAAAGATTCAGGGCTTTCGAGAAATGGGCCCCCGACCTTTTGGGCTCAACATTTGTTCACAGAAACATTTCACCGCCCACATCTCTATATGTAAAGCGTCTACATATAAGAATTAGCAGTGTTTCAACCTAGGTGTTGAAAGAGCGACTAGAGGATTTGAGTTCCCAGGTTAACAAGTAAAACCAGTAAGCATTGTTTAATGCAATCCATGTCACATCAGTAAAAGAAATTACAATTTTTATTAACTTCAAGTCCAACCTCTTATATTTACATTGCAAAAGTTAGTTAGATCATTTAATTCTGAAAGGCTGCAAGGTGTAACAGATAGCTACAACAGATTAACGTAATAGTTTTGGTGTAGAAGTCTCCATCAGAAATGTCAAGTTCTAACTAAAAGATCCCCAGAAATGTGGCTTCATTCTTCTGTGAAAGAAAAAATATATAACAAAATTCGTAAGGGCAAGATACTTTATTAATTGTGGGTACATTCCATCATAGTATACCCCTTGATTTAGCCCATGAACACGCCCTGCCAGTCAGGTACAGCATAAAAAAGACAGGAATGGCCTGCAAGCTGTCACCCTCACTGCAACTGAGAAAAGGCAGTGTCTCTAATTTTAAATTATTTGCAACTAAAGAAATAATCTAAACCTTAGACTTTTCTTTACAAATTCTCAATCCTTTGCCCCTTAAATTTCACAACAAAGTAATAAATTCAAACAACATACATTCCATTTATAATACTTTTCTTATCTTGTATTTGGAGAAACGTGAGAGGCAAAAGAGTAAAATGTCTAATGTGCTTGCCCCACCTCATACCAACACCCCCTCCCCCCCCCCCTGCAACCAAGACAATACAGGGAAGTATAATATGTACATGTACCAAACCGCTTTTGATACTCACATGCAGTTGCTTCTTCCATTTCTGCTAGAGCAGCTAACAAAGTAGAGAAATGAAAAATCACAGTTACACACCAGTAGATAGTAAAAATGCTGTGATGTTATAAGAGAAATGTGTGTCCCATAGTCTGTCAGCACTGTGCGGAGGGGATGTGATTGAGCCACAACAAAAAAATATCTCGAAGCAAATAAATAAACGTGTGGACAGACTACACGTACAAGTATGTACCCTTACTGGTACTGTTTCCACCAGAAGCTGCATGATCATTTGTAAGCTACTTAACTATATCAATAACATGCTAATGAATGCTGAAAAGGAAATTTCTGATAGGTACTCTGAACTGTCTGACTCTACACATGTATACAGACCACGAAGATGGACCTTGTACACAGTACATTGTAGCTTCAGCAAATTGTCTTTGCAAGACCATTGCACAAACGAAAATAGTTTGTTGCCGCAATAGCCGCTCATTTCCACGTCTCTCTCATTCCTACCTTTCAATGGTTATTAACAAATTTTGTGACTTTGATTCCAAACATGTATCACCTTTGTGACATAACCTGAAATTTGTCCAGAAAATTTTCTGACAAGACAGCATTGTTCACAGAACATGTTTCCCTATCAACCACCCAAGAATTTTAAAAGAAAATCAAATCTTTCTCCAAAATAAGAGTGCTTGCCTTTTTTTGAAGAAAAGATTTCAGATTGAATCCAATAGAAATTCAAGTATTTAACAAGTGGACAAAAACTTTGTACCAATATTACTTACATCGTAATGCAAACTTCTGTTTGACTATTTTAAATATCTTCTCAAAAAATATCATTTCTAACAACACCATATGTCAAAAACACATTGTGAACTTCTTATGAAACAAGTGAAAGTACAGGTGAAATGAAACTGATGATGAGATCTTACCTGTGTTTGCAAGCACAATTTCTCCGAACTTGCAAATTTATTTTCTCGAGTTCCCATGGAAAATTGTTTTCCGTGTTAATTTCAGGCAACTGCTTGTACTTACATGTGCATCTTTAGCTTTAAGAAAATGTAAAATGGACTGTAAAATACCTAAAACTATTCTGGTACAAGGTTTTTGTGCACTTAAAACTGAAATTGCTTGATTTTCTATCGGATTTTGTCTTAACTGTCATCTTTGTTTTGGCACCCTCTTTACTGGTTTTGAGGTTTGGTGCTTTTTTGCAATCATGAGATCCACAAGATCAAAAAAATGGCAGATGTTCAAATTTATCATGATCAAAGTCTCACATCACATGACACCATCATCTTGGATTTACTCTTGAAGTTATGAAGGGGCAAAACCATTCTGCCTTAAACCTACTTTCACACCCTCCCCACACCCACAGTCCAAAAAAGACCAACAAACCCAGGTTTTAATCAGGCTTAATATTGGTTTAAATCCTACATTGACAACATATAACCTCCTTCTCAGCTTTTAACCTTTCAGCTCTCTCTGCTAAAAGTTGAGCCCTTGGCCACCATGGTACATTTTTGTGCTTTTTAACCATATCTTCATAATTTTCCTCGGCTCTTTCTTCATACTGATGTGCCTTATAACCAAGCCACAGAAAAGCACTGGTGTAGAATACATGCAGTTGCAAAATTTTTAGGTTAAATTAATGTACAACAATGTACATTTAATGAATCCTGAACCCATTGTCTACCATCACACATGATCCACATTAAGGTTTGAAGGATGAGGCCCTATATGTATGGTGACACATTTCAAATGAAACTTAACGTAGCATACCTAAAAGCACCTTAACTTAAGCTTAAATACATAAATCCTCTGCAGTGGATGTGTAAGAACATAGACAAAACTAGTATGTCATTGTCTTTGCATGTATGTATTTCGTGGCTAGTTTGGAACGTTTGGCTCTGGTAAATGCACTCTTAACTCTGCAGTTTACATCACAATTGTTGTGTCCTGAACTAGTCGGTGCTAAGAAAGAATTCAACTGGATTGAACCAAACAACAACGATAACTTTTTCCGCCATGACAGCTCGTGCACGACACTACAACCGAGAGGATCTGGGTTCTAATACATTACACCGGGAGGGGATCTGGATCCTAATACACAACAACAATCTGAGCTATATTTCAGCTTACAAGTATCGACCATGCCCAATGTACAGGGTAAGCAAGCTTAATACAACTTAGCTCACACTGTACAAGTGTCGTTCAAAATGCAATAAAAATAATACCTTTACTTACTTCTAAAAGCTGGATAACCTCGCACCAGATTAGAGCAACACGATGCAAACAATCCGGCCCCTCCAAACCATAGTATTGTCCTTATTATTGTCCTAACAGCTAAGGAGAAAGACGACCAGTCTTGGGGAAAGTGTACACAAAAATCCAATATGGCGGCTTGTGTATGGGCTTACCAGCCAAGCTTCTCGAAGTGAGCCGATTACTTCTTCATGTAAGCCTTGTGACAAAAGCCTCAACCCAACTTAGGAAGTAAGACTTGCATAAGATGTCTTAGATAAAAGTTCGAGGGGAAAGATAGAAAGGTACATAGGCCCTGGATTAAAAAATGTGTAAAAAAAATAAATAAATACACGGAAATATGAAATAGCGTAACTGGTAGAATTTTCAGGTCACACTTCGTATTTTCTTTGTTGCAAAGATGGAGGGCACGAGCATCTCGTTTTCACGGCAGGGTGCATTACCTGAAACATCTTCTTAAACCTAAACTAGCAACATGTGTGGCTAATGCCCCATCGGTATTCCAAACAAATGCACATCACTTGAACTAGCACCAGCAGGTCACCTGCCCTAGTTTATTTTGAAAGCAGTCATTTTTAAAATGGTCCATGGTCCAATCTACAACTTTTTCTTCTTCCTCTTTGTGGAGTGATATTAACATTCCTGTGCGTCAAAAGCTCAGCTAACGATTCTGATAGTTTTCCTATTGTGATCAACACGTGGTCTGGAAGCTATAAAGGAGCCACAGACAAAGGTGATATAACGACTGATTTAAATTTACACATTAGTTTGTTTGATTCGGCTGAATCAAGTGACAACAGAGGAAATAATGACGCCTCTAACATTACATTTATTTAAAAACATCCGTCGACAGCTCGGACTTCTGACAAGTTGTGACATTGCGTGGTGACAATATTTCTGATAGGTGCGTCATTACCGCAATACGCGAATATTAAAGTGATATTGTAAAATTATTTGATAGTACACGAAAGGAATAGATCTATTGAAAAGGTATCATTCAGGTCACATGATCATGGATGTTCTAAAACCTCCAGTATAGAATGTACACTCTGTAATTTTATATGGAATATTAAGCAATTTTTGATGATACAGGATGGCACCAGTAGATTACATCACTTTTTTGTAAAAAGCAAATGTTCGTTTCCCAAGTGAAGCTCGATACAATATTTGCGTCTGATCTTTATTAGCATCCACAAAGGCGAGCCCGGTTTCAGCTCGCCACTGTAAACGCCCTGTACATGAAGATTGGCCCTGCCAATACTGTGTCAATTCTGTTAGTTAAAAGTTACCACAGGAATTACATTTTATGACAACTGTTATTGCATTAACGAAGGGTAAAACAATACAAAACGTTATTGAAATTCATGGCAGTTCACACCTGTTTAAAGTTTGATAGGCTCAGTCGGTTATCTCTAGCAAAAATTGTTTAACTTTCACAATTTGAAGCATTTCATTCTTTTTTTGATTTCGTCGTTTCCAGTGTACACCAAAAGCTCTGGTAACTATTCTGATTTCTTTCCTGGTGTGATCAACACATGGGCTGGAAACCATGAAGTGGCCACAGGCAAAGGTGATGAAGTGACCGCCGTTTATTCTGCTTGCCTGAGTGTGAAATTATTCATAAGCTTGTGATATTAGGAAATTATTATACCCGCTTTAAGTTATCTATATTTAAGAGTGTTTAAGAAGTGGCTTGCAAATTGAAATAAGTGCAACATGTCCCATCCGGCCAGTGCAAGGGACTTTTAACAAACCTTTCTGAGGCATCTCACATTTATTCACTTAGTTAACATTTTATTTTCATTCATTTTGTATGTTATTTTACGTTAATTAATGTAAGAAATCAATATGGCTTTTCAAGAAAAAGATCAAAACCCACTTTTCTTCTTTGGGCTCCCACACGGCAGTCATGTAAACCCGCTTTTCGGTATCGTAGTAGTCGATTTTATCGACTTATATTTTAGTATGTTTTTTTATACTCTGTAACTGAATTAATACACAGAGTATGCTATGCACCCAAAATCTAACAGTATCGTTTAGTCTATGTTACGAGACAGAATCAGTTTGCTTTCATATTTCAAACCTATTATGTTTTAGTCTTTTAAGTAAGTCAACTTGATATAACTTGCACAACGTTTTCCAAAGGTTTATCAATGCTTCCACGCCGATCTTTCGCATGTATCTACCACTGGGAAGCTATAGAAACGCTTGTGATGTATTCGGCCCTTCGTGTACAAACTGTGCGACTCAAATACTGATATCTGATTATACTGTGGCTCATGCTATGGCTATTACATGTATCTGCTTTCTTGCTTAGAAATTATAATTTATATCTTTCCTACCTATCACTGTGTTGAACATTAGCATGGGAAGTACTCGCAAAGGGAGGACCATCTCTAGATGCCATAGAGGAAGGAGTTACAGCGTGTGAGCTGAACCAGTGCGGCACTCACAGAGTGACTGTGGGCTATGGTGGAAGGTATTGTACACGGTAACTGCGTCAAGTCCAGTTGCAATGCCATCTATATATAACCTTCCCCTATTAGTAGGTTGCCTTGCGACAAGAAAAAAAATCTAAGTGCCCTATAGTTAAGAGCTAAAATTAAATTTTCTTTACAGCACATCCAAAGACATGCAGTGTAACCTACATATTCTCGTTCACATCGTCTTTGAATCTTATTCTACCATACGTCTTCCTAAAAACTGATCCATTCAAAATCTTTGTTTTTCAGTCCTAATGAAGCTGGAAAGACAACATTAGATGCTTTAATAATTGATGGGTAAGGCAACTTTTGAAACGGCCGAAATTCTGATAGATACTCTTCAAAACATTTTACTTTTTCTTGTTATCCAGATGCGATAATACATGTTGTATTCGTTTAGAGATTAACACTTCCTGCTCGTAAATAAATTTCTGTTCTAAACATAGTCATAGTTTTCAAACGGACTAGCCTCTACTGGCAGTCATTGTAAAAAATTATATTATTGTCAATACGTTTTTGTAGTTTTCACCCCCTGCTTCGTCGAAATTTTGCTCGCCCTTCAATTAACGCGCGGTTAGAATGCCGAAAAGCTCTTTGTACGGAATGCTTGCTGCCCGGGCTAGAATTGTTGATGAGTTTGAAAATTTAAGTAAATGAGTACTGATTGTCCTCGTCATACTAGTGTCGTAATTTTTGCAGTGCAACACACGCTGCTGGGGAAGTGGGCTGTTTGAAGCGCGTCAAGACGGCAATTTCTGTCGCTCGAGCTGTTCTGGAGAACACCAAGGCTACCCTTCTTGTTGGTGAAGATGGTTAGTAGGATTTACCCAAGTTGTAAAACAATTTATTTTGAGATTAACATTATTCGTGATATTTGAAATGCGAAATGAGAGAGAGAGAGAGTTATCCCAATTATTCTTTGTGTCTGCCTTTCCTTCAAGCAACACAATTTGCCCTCCAGATGGGATTCAGAGAACAAGATCTTCATACTAACGAGTCTGTGTAAGTAGTCACTAAATAATAAAATCAGTGAAGGGCACGGTAATTCAATGAA